AAAGAAGAAAATAAGTTTTTCGGAAAAAGAAGCGCCGACAAACCGGAAAGTTCAAAATGTAGTTCTTGTATATCACTTAAGGATCAAGTTGCAAAACTTGAAGGAACTTTGAAGAAGTTTGGTGTTTCTCATAAAAACCTTAATGATGTTCTTGATAATTTGCAACTTACTAAACATGGCTTAGGATTTGAAAATGAACCTAATAATAAGGAAAAAGTTGAGCAACCATCTAGGAAACCTAAAGCTCAACTTAGGAATAATGAAAATCAAGAAAATAGACAACCTAGAACAATTAGGAACACTAGACTACCTAGAAAGAACACTAGGATGAACAATGATCAAGTTAGAAAACCTAGCAACTATTATCAACCTAGGAGAATGCATAATCCAAATGTTGTTTGTCATTATTGCAATAGGGTAGGTCATATAGCACCCGTGTGTTTTAGTAGGCATAGGCATTACACGTATAACAAAACACACACTTTGCGTGGAACTAACCGAATGAAATCCTTTCAAAAAGGATATTCGAACTCTAACCAATCCCTGCAGGAATCAACGCAAAAGAAACCATATTACTTCTTCTATTATGATGAAAAGAAGAAGATTCACATACCACTTCCGGAACCCACACAAATCAAACCGAGATATAGACATTCGGTTCGAGTAGACTGGAACCCGCCAACCGCAAAAGGACGAGTTGGCCAAGGTAACACTTAAACACGCATGTTGGTACATGTGTGTGTGTGTGTGTGTTTGCGTACCATGTGTATGTGATTATGGGTGCGTGTGTTTATTAGTTTAAAAAATCGTGTTACTAATCCTCAAGGACCCAAAAGATCAAACGGGTACCAAAATGTTTTCATTGTAGGTGTTAAAGCCAGGGGAACAAAAGAAATCGATTTCAAGTTCCCAGGACTGAGTGTAAATCGATTTACAACCTTGAGATAATCGATTATCACTGTCCGCAGAAGTTTGGAGCAAATCCATCGCAAAACTCCAACAATCGATTTTCCAAGTCATGATAATCGATTATATGGAGCTGCAGAACTTTATTTGAAGTTAGGCGCAAAACAATCGATTTACCAAAACATGACAATCGACTATTGAAGCCTGCAGGAGTTTGAGGAAAATTAGCTGGAGACGCCAACAATCGATTTACAAAAAACATGTAAATCGACTATTAAAGCCTTCAGAAATTTGAGGCAAATCCTCTCCAACAATCGATTTACAACCAAGGCAGAAATCGATTATTGAAGCCTGCAGTTTCTTTGGCGGAGAATCTGAAGCCTCAGATTATCGATTTACAGGGAGTGTAAATCGACTATCAATGATGATTTTTTAAAAATCTGACCGTTGCAGAGACGTTTGGAGAGCAATTAATGCATGTTTTGAACTCCCCAACGGATCTCCAGCCCACTCCCTTATAAATTGGTGATCTCTATTCATTTTATACTCACTCAAATCATACTTTCTCCAAATATTCATCACAATTCATCATTCTTGCTCCTATTCTTCACTTTCTTTCCAAATTTCTGCAATTTTCTCTTTTTTTGACTTGCTCTCCCTCTCTCTCTTTGTTAAAATGGCAGGAGGTCAAAGAAAAAGATCCCGCACCGGCAAGAACGTGGCTTCTTCCTCGGCTCCTCCACCACCGGCGCACAAGTACCTCGACGGGTCGTTCCTTTGGTTCAAGACCACGTAGAGGCGACGCGGTTCTCGGAGAAATTTGAGCACCGGGAGATTCTCCCTCCCCGATTCTCCACCGCCCGCTTCATTCATGACTCCATTCCACGTGAGGCACGGATTATCCTCGAACGTGGAAACTTCCTCGATCTCCTCTACATCAAGAAGGTCAATTATCAACCTTTTCTTGTTCGAGCTTTCTATTCGAACTTGAAAAAGGATGAGGACGGATCGTTGATTTCAAACGTCAACGGGGTGGACATTTATTTGAATGAGAAAAACATTCAAATCCTCACCGGGGTTCGACGGGACGGACAGGATCTCGGGCTCTACGTCGGAGAAGAAGGAGCGCGGTTCAATGAGACCGCTCTCTTGGAGGAAGTGGGCATCCGACACTTCATACCCACTCCCCAACAGCGGCGCCCTACGATTTCTTCCATGAGTCCCGTGTATCGTTTCATCTTCTATGTGTTGACACGGATCCTCAAGCCCAGGAAGTTCAACCACACCACTCTCTCCCAAGAAGACACGAAGACGATCCATGCGATGATTCACAACGCCAATATCGATTGGTGTAAATTTGTGATGATCCACATGTTCAACGCCACCTCCGACAACCGGCCGCTCCCCTACGCCCT